GGCATACACACGCACAGTTGGGCCCAGTTCCCTATCCAACATATCTTCCCATTCGCCAATCTCTCGATCGTATTCTTGCGGATATAGGAATGGGCACGTGAACCGCAGGTTGGCGGTGCTGTCTTTGAGCACTTTGTTCGATGTGTTGTACCGGACAATGGGAGTCGCAGAGCATTGGGGGTCCTGCACTAGCGGATGATATCAGCGGATGATACAGTTATATGAGAGAGTTGAATCCGTACTATTCGTGTACATGTACACGTATAAACATATGTAGAAATTGCGGAAACAACCCGTTTTTGTTTTCTTGCAAACAATGTGTAGCTACGAATGCCAGAAGGTGAGGAATAGGCTTACTATAGTACAAGGGTAGATTCTTCGTGCGCAGACATATGAACGGACATGCTGCGACGGTGTAACATAACTGTGCATTCACAGCATGGAGAGTCGGACACAGTGAACTTGGGCATAGAACAAAACACTATTGAAATCACTCCTAGATAGTAGCCACCCAGGAAGCGATGGCTACGTTAGACACAAATCTCTCCCACATCTCATACCAGGAAAGTTTCAGCAAACCCCAGCACGGCAGACTTGATCGAAACCAAGTCCAAAAGGCATATATATATATATATAGAAATAGAAATATATAGGTATAGAAATAGAAATATATATATATGCATATATATATATATATATGCATAAATAAATATATATATATGCATATATATATATATATATACATGCATACATGCATATATAGCATACACATATCAGTTCGGTACACCATGGATATACACTGGCTCACTTGCCCCACTAACAACTCTCATTTACCAATTCAGTTGTCCATAGGGCTGCCAGTCCAGGTGTGTGTGCATCTTCGTTGTAATCAAACCCAGTTGCTTTGTCTGTTCGCAGGATGTCGAAACCCCATCGTACCTGCGGATCACAAGATCACAAGTTGAGTGGTATAAAGTTTATGTTTGTGAATTAGATAAGTCATACGGAAGTATCACCTATACTACTGGCAGGCAGCAGAGCCTTTCTCGAGCCTTCTAGAATGAATGTGAGGAGCTCGTTTTAAGGTTAAGCGAGGATCTTCATTCCAACACTCAGAGGCAGCAATGACCGCAACGATACACTTCACAAGTACAGGGGGCCATGCTGACACGTAGGATGGTCAGATCCAAGCAACTAATCATGCGCACCTAATCTATACCACATTTCAACCACAGATATGTCTCAATATACCCACATAGCACACTCTCAACTTCCACATACATAGCACACTCCCAGCTACTTTTTGCAGAGGCATCGTCCCAGCCACTTTTTGCAGAGGCATCGTCCCAGCTACTTTTTTGCAGAGGCATCGTACCGGTAGAATCGGTCGTGCAAGCTGAAGGCGCACATACATACACTCACAGTCACAGTACGACGGCTGACTATCATGGATCAAGAAACACATGGTTTTGGAAGTACTATTCGGAACAACTGTTCGGTTTCTATGAACTTGCGACCTGTTGGAAGAGTCACATGGCTGTAGATGCGCGAACCGGCTGTAGAAGACTAATAGTATGGCACGTTTTACATACTTAAAGGGCTAAGAAGAAAGCGTATCAATAAACACAGGCCGGCATACAACCCTTCCGTATATATCAATACACTCTACCTAGATATATGTATAATAATGAATACACATGCCCCACACTTCGCTTCTCACTTGCACAAACACGTAGACACAACTACAAAAATAACTCAAGCATACTGAATACGATCAATCGTGACAACACACCCGCTTGACAGCATACCCACCTTCTCCGCGTAGTGACTAATCCCGGCAGTGACCATGCGCGCCCCAAACTCATTCTTCGGCGTGTGCACCTTCGAGAGATTCTTACACAGAAAGTTAATGTAAGACATCGGCGGCCTTTTCAACTGCTTCGCAGTCACCTGCCGCGTGTTCTCGGGCGGTGGATAGTTTGCGGCGGTAGTCACCCGTCTCCTTCGGCTG